CCAAATGGGATTTAACACCGAGACACCTGTCTGAAAAAAAAGGGAAATTGTCCCCAAAAGTGGGTGAAGGTTCATGGACAATTATAGCACCTGGACTTCGCTCTGCTGTCCCAGCCCCTCCTGCCCTGCTTGGCAAGGGAGCACAAAAACATGTGGCTAATGAGTTACGGGTCCATCACAGCCTGCCGGCCCCAATCAGGGACATTTTGCAATCCAGGACTTTATTTCTGTGCAGTTGGAGTTTAAACTTTGCCACTGTGGTCAGGGCATCACACAGGAGGAGGAGGAGGAGGAAGAGGAGGCTGGACTTGGTGTCCACCTCAGAGCTCAGAGAGGGTTGAGAGGACAATCCATGGGATCTCACCCAGGTATGGCCCTCAGTGGGGTCCCAGGGGACCATCAGGGTGAAGGACAGGGTGCAATAAAACCTTCCTGTGCCTGGGTTGGCCAGACAGACATCCCAGTAAATGACACTTGAGCCTGGGGTTAATTGGCTGGGAAGAGCAGTTGGAGGTTGGGTTGGGTGTTGGGTTGAGTGGTGCGTTGGTGATCAGTCAGCCTGAGAGTTGACTGGTCAGTCCATCGGTCAGTCTGTTGGCTTTTTGGTCAGTCCATCCTTTGGTCACTTGGTCAACGGGTTGACCACTTGGACTGTTTCTCGATGGGCTCACTGATTGACTGGTCAACCGGTTGGTCAGTAGGTCAGCTGGTGGGGTAGTTGGGTTGTCAGTGGGTTGATTGGCCAGGTGGGCAAGTGGTCAACTGGCCTGGTGGCTCTGTCTGAGTCTGGGGTGTCAACCAGTGCCTGGGGTGGCACTGAGGGACTGAGTCCCCTCCCTGGGGCTGAATCCTGTCCTTGGGGACGGGTCCCCTCCTCAGTCTTCTCCCCTCCCCTTCCCACCCAGAGTGCCCACCCTGCCCTCCCAGAGTGGTCACCCCCAGGCCAGGGCTGGAGGGGGAGCTGCCCCAGCCCCTCCTGCCCTCAGGGAGTCAAGGGGGGGGTTGGGGGAGCCCCTGGCTGGGCCATTCTGGGGGGAAAAATAGAGGATTTGGGAGTTTCAGCAGCTGGAAGGAGGTGGTGGGGGGGGTGAGTAGTGGGGCACTGCCTTACCCAGAGCCCCCACACCCTGTGCTCTCCCTCCCACACATGAAGGGCTTTGCCAGCTGTGCCCACATCTGTGCAGAGACAGCCCCAAACCCACTCCCTGCTCCCTCCCACTGCCCCCACCGTGTGTCCCCAGGCCTGTGCAGCTTGTGTGGGGTGGAGGGGAGGACAACCAGGGGCACTGACACTGTGTCACCTCCCAGCCATGGCCTCCAGTGTGGGCAGCCTGGACAGCCTGGACCTGCTGGACCTTCTGTTCGACCGGCAGGACGGGATCCTGCGCGAGGTGGAGCTGGGAACGCCGCCGGGAGCCTGGCACGAGGGCAGGGTGAGAGCCCCGGGCTGGGGGGGATGTCCCATGGGCACCCCAGGGTGACAGTGCCCCGTGCTGATGGGTGTTGTGTCCCCACAGCATGCCCAGGACAGCGAGGACTTCCTCAGCTCCATCCTGGGCTCCGGGGATTCGGTGTCGGACTCGCCCAGCTGCTCCCCGGCCACCAGCGACAGTGGGGTCTCCGAGGACCCCCCCTCGGACCAGCACGACAGCCCCCCCAGGTGCTGTGACGGGGGTCCCCCAGAGGTCCTGTACCCCTACACCAACCCCTGCCGGGCTCAGCCCATCCCAGCAGGGTCTGGGGTCCTGCAGCCCGAGGTCTCCATCGACCTGGGTGAGCCACATTGGGCTGGGGGCACTGGGGAGCTCAGAGGGGTGGGGCAGGTGGGGGCTTTTTGGGGCTTGTGAGGGGATTGGGGGAGCTGAGGGGACTGGAGGGAACTGGGGAGAACTGGGAGGTCTGGAGGACTGGTGAGTGGAGAGAGCTTGGGAACTGGGCTGAACTGGGCAGACTGGTGTTGGTGGGGGAGGCTGGATGAGGAGAAGGGTTTAGGGGGGCTGAGCAGCACAGGGTGCTGAGGGAGGGGCTGGGGCAGGACCAGAACGACAGTTTGGGGGGGCAGAGTTGGGGTCACGGACTGGGCGGCGGGTCAGCCCAGCTCTGGGGCCGTGGCAGGGAGCACCCCTGGGGGAGGGACAGCAGGGACAGAGGGGGACACAGGACAGCTGACAGCCCTGCTGTGCCCTCCCCCAGACATGTGGCACCCCGGGTTCTTCCTGGAAGAGAGCCAGGACCTGCCCGTGGTGTCCCCGCCACCGTCCTGCGCCCTCACCGTCAAGGACCTGCTGCTCTCAGGCAGCTCTGACAACGTGAGTCCCTGTCCCTGTGTCCCCAACACTCCCTGCCTGCAGCCTTGGCCCCTCCTGATCCCCCCATTCCCATCCCTATCCCCACATTTATCCCCATTCCTACACCACAGACAGAGGTTTTACCTCCCTGGTCCACGATCCCATCCCTGTCCCCACCCCGTGGTTCCCTGGGGTGCCCATTCCCTGTTCCCACAGCAGCCACAGGCTCCTGGCTCCCTGCTCCGGCCAAACCAGGGCCCCTTCCAGGAGCTGGTGCTGACGGAGGACGAGAAGAAGCTGCTGGCCAAGGAGGGGGTGACCCTGCCCACACAGCTGCCCCTCACCAAGGTGGGTCCCAGCACGCCTGGGGAGGGTGTGGGGCTGGAGGGGGTCCCATCCCCGGCATCCCTGACTACTCCCCCTCGTGTTCCCCAGTACGAGGAGCGGGTGCTGAAGAAGATCCGGCGGAAGATCCGGAACAAGCAGTCGGCTCAGGAGAGCCGCAAGAAGAAGAAGGAATATATCGATGGGCTGGAGAGCAGGTATGGCCCCCACCCCTCAGCCTGGGCATGGGGACACCCTGGGGGGCACAGCCAGCCCCCCACGAGCTGTCCCCCTGATCCCAACCCCTTCTCCCTGCGCCCCAGGATGTCGGCGTGCACGGCCCAGAACCAGGAGCTGCAGAGGAAAGTCCTGCACCTGGAGAAGCAGAACTCGTAGGTGTTCCCAGGGTGGGGTGGGGACAGTGGGGGGTAGGATGTGGTTGGGACAACCTGCTGGAGGGGCCTGGGGGGCTCACGGGCTCTCCCTGTTCCCAGGTCCCTCCTGGAGCAGCTGAAGAAGCTCCAGGCCCTCGTGGTACAGTCGAGCAACAAGGCGGCGCAGACGGGAACGTGCCTGGCGGTGTGTGGGGCTCCAAACCCCCGGGATCCTCGGGATGGGAAGGGGGACCTGTGGAGATGAGCTGGAAGGGGTGGATGGGGGCATTGGAGGGATGGATGGATGGATGGATGGAGGGATGGAGACAGGGATGGGTGAATGAAGGGATAGGTGGAAGCAGGGATGAATGGATGAAGGGAAGGAAGAACACAAGGATATCTGGATGGAGGGAGGGAGGGATGGAGGGTGGGGATGTGTAGGTGGATGGATGAAGGGATGGGTGGATGCAGGGAGGGATGGATGGAAGTGCCCTGGCAGGGGAACAAGCACCAGGAGGGATGGAGGGATGGACACAATCATGGTTCTGTCACCAGCCCCTCCCTGGGAGCTGTCCCAGCCCCTGGTCCCCCTCCACTGCTGTGTGGTGACATCCCCTCTGTCCCCAGGTCCTTCTGCTCTCCTTCACCCTCATCGTCTTCCCCTCCATCAGCCCCTTCGCCCCCAGCAAGGCCGAGCCCAACGGAGACTTCAGGCCGGTGCGAGGTAAGGCTGAGCTGGGCTGTGCTGGGGCTGTGCCAGGCTGAGCTGGGACTGTACTGGGCTGTGCCAGGGCTGTACTGGGCTGTGCCAGGGCAGTGCCAGGCCCACAGGCCCCACCCCAGGCCCTGACCCTTGTGCCCTGGCGCTCAGTTTTCTCCAGGTCGCTGCACAACGCGGCCGCCTCCCGCGTGGTTCACAGCCAGCCCCAGCCCGGGGACGAGAAGCCCCGGGAGCCCCTGTGGTCGGAGCACCTGCAGGAGGCCCCCGAGACCCTGCACGGAGCTTTCAGTGGCCACACACACCTGGACAAAGTGTCCCTCAGGAACGACACACCCACACCGGCACAGGCCCCCGAGGGGCTGAGCGGTGGGGCTGGGGGTGGCACCCACGCCGTGCCAGGGGACAGCCCCGCGTCCCAGCAGAGCCCGGCAGGGCTGGCCTGGGCCAAAGCTGGGCACGGCCATCCCGCCGGGCTGGAGCCGGAGGAGGAGCTTTAGCAGCACACCCAGGGACCACGGGGGACGCCACGGGGTGACACAGCACCTCAGCCCCTCCGGGACCAGCCCTCGGGGTGAGCCCTGCAGGACGTGCCTCCAGCTGCTGGACCCGCTGGGCTTTGCTTGTGACTGTGAAGTGGGAAGGGGAGGCTGCTTCCCACTGGCCTTACTGGGAGGGAAGGGGCTGCTCCTGCCCCCTGGGTGCAGTGGAAGTTGTGGAAGGGATGAGGGGTCGCTCAGGATGGGGCTGAGGGAGCAGGAGGGGCCCTGGGCTGCTTGGTTCTGCTGATGGTGCAACTGGTTGGTTTTGTTCTTGGGTTTGGTTTGGGTTTGTTTTGGTGTTTGGTTTTTGTTGGTTTTTTTTTTTTTTAATTTTATTTTCATCTCCAAATACAAGTTATTTTGGAAAAAAATCCAGCTGATTTAATTTAAGAGGGGGTGATCCACAAGGTTTCAAGGAGCCTTGGGCCAGGGGGGCCTCAAGCCCAACTGCCTTGAGGCAGTGGGGCCCAGGAGAGGTGGGACAAGTGGCCAGGCCCAGTGGGACACCAGGGCACATCCCACAGCTCCCAGCCCTGTGTCCAACTGGGATCCAGCCAGCACCACTCCCCTTCCATGACCAAGTGACATGGAATCACAGAATTACGGAACAGTTTGGGTTGGAAGGGACTTTAAAGCCCACCCAGTGCCACCCCTTGCCATGGGCAGGGACACCTTCCACTATCCCAGGTTGTTCCAACCTGGCCTTGGACACTTCCAGGGATCCAGGGGCAGCTGCTCTGGGAAAATCCACATCCCCCAGACCATGGGATGGGCTCATCCCAACCACCACCTGGTGCCAGCTGTCCCAGTGATCCCATGTCACCATCCCAGTGCCCCCAGCTCCAGCTGTGCCCCACAGCTGCCTCCTCTCAGGAAAGGAACCCAGAGCTTGGGACACTTGAAGGAGCAAGGCCCTTCCCAAGGCCTTCCGTGGGTGCAGCTGCCCCGCCACGTGTGCTTCGAGTGTGTTTAATACTTACATAAAAAAAGGGACAATATTTAAGGGTATAAAAAAAAGTCGGTAGGAAAAGCGGCACGGACGAGAGTCTGGAGAGAGGGAACAGTCCAGGGCTCAGCTCAGGAGAGCTTCCACCTTCACCTTCTTCACCGGCGGCAGCCCCGTGTCCGGGCTGGGACACTCCTGCTTCAGCCCCTCGTGGTGCTCCTCCACCAGCACCTTCCCAGAGCACGGCATATTCCCAGGACACGGCGTATTCCCGGCACGTGGCATTCCCGTGCCGTTGTGCTGGGAGAGGGGCTCCTCCTTCAGCCACTTCCCGGGGGACGTGAGGAGCTGCTCCGGCCTCGGGAGCTCCGCGCTCTCCACCACCACCGGCCCCGTCCACTCGGGCACCTCCAGCCCCAGGTGCTTCATCAGCTTCGTCATCACGTCGTCCACGTAGGCGTGGATGCGCAGGTCGGCCTGTCTGTCCTGGGGGGAAGGGCAGGTGGGATCTCAGGGGAAGGTTTTTCCTCCCCAGAGGGTGGTGGGCACTGCCCAGGCTCCCCAGGGCAGTGGGCACGGCCCCAAGGCTGCCAGAGCTCCAGGAGGGTTTGGACAACGCTCTGAGGGACAGGGGGGGATTGTTGGGGTGTCTGTGCAGGGCCAGGAGTTGGACTGGATGATCCTGATGGGTCTCTTCTAACTCTGCATATTCCATGATTTCACTGGGCTTTGATTCACCAGAGGATACATCAGGCTTTGGGCTGAGTTTTTATTCTCTCTTAAAGCTCTCTTGGATGAGGTTGGATGGGGCTTGGAGCAACCTGGTCCAGTGGAAGGTGTCCCTGCCCATGGCAGGGGGTGGGACTGGATGAGCTTCAAGTCCCTCCCCACCCAAACCATTCTGAGATTTACCTGCAATTTCCAAGTGTTTATCAGGACTTGCAGGTTTTACTCCCACCTGGGAGGGGACAGGGACAGGGACAAAGCTGGGCTGGGCCTGGGAGAGGTGACAGGAGGGGAGAGGAGCAGCACAGGGTGCTGAGGACTCTCACTCACGTGTTTGGTTGCCTGTAGGTTGACTATGACCAGCTTCCCTCCTCTCTTCTTGGTGATCAGTGGGAGGTTCCCACTGGGTTTGATCTGTAGGGAGGTCCCCAGGGTCACAGAGAGATCGGCTTTCCTTCAGGGAGGAGACAAAAATCCACAACCACGGGATGCTTTGGGTTGGGAGGGACCTTAAAGCTCATCCAGTTCCACCTCCCACTTCCCAGAGTTACCTGCAGGCTTCATCCGCCAGCGTGAGGTCACGGTCGGGCAGGGAATCTTCCCAGTCCAGGATAGTGTCTCTTAACTTCCCTCTGGAAATCACACACAGGGATCAAAGTTTTCCCCTGCCAGGCAGGGAACAGCAGAGCTGCCCTGGCAGAGGTGCCAGACGTGTCCCACCCTCCCTCGTGGCAGCGCTGCGAGACCTTCCTGCACCCTCAGCCGCTTCTCCTAACCCTGAGGAGCTGCTGGCCACTCCAAGAGACATCCCATGTGCAGCATTCCAGCAGGGATCCAGCCCTACCTGCAGGGAGCCAGCCCTACCTGCAGGCCCTCAGCCCACGGGCCTTGGTGACGCTGCAGAGCCGGCCGGTGGGTTTGAGCCCCATGCTGCCCACCACGGCGTCCCGCACGTACTGCCTGCAGAGACACGGACCCACTCAGGGCCAGGCACTCGGGGAAGGGCTGCAATGCCCCCCACCTCGACGTGGAAATCCCCCCCAAGCCCCTCCCACACGTACTTGCCGCATTTCACGCACTCCTCCACGAACATGTTCCCGTGGAGCTCGGCCAGCTTGTCCCTGCGGGAGGGACAACAAGTGTGTGAGGTGGGAAAGGGAAAGCCCTGGAGCAACCCCCCTCCTCCCTCACCAGGGCTTCCCTGCATTCCAGCTCTGCCAAAGGGTGGGTTCATCTCCCTGTGGCCACCCCAGCAGGGACTGAGGAGGGACACAGCATGTCCTGGCTTTTTAATGCTTCCACCTGCAGCGTCGATTCCAGCCCCCGATCCAGCTCAAATCTCTGCTCCTCGGTAGCACCTGGATCTTTGCTTTCCTCAGCACCTCTCTTGTCCCTGTGCCACCCCAGCCCTCTGAAACCCGTTTGGCCTGAAAGTCCCTTTGGGCTCGGTGCAGAAGGCAGAGGAAAGCACAGCCACCCCCTCCCTGTGCTCCTCCAAACCCCACCACGCCTGGGAACCTCCTCCAGGGGGGGATGAGACAGGACTGACTTGATTTCCCCCCGTTTGGCCCCAGTTCAGCAGCACTTACTCAAGCACAGGCTTTGTTTTGGTGGCAGTCCCATCCCCAGTTCCTTTTCCCAGGGCTGTTCAGTTTAAACAGGCAAAGGTGGTGCTGGGAGAAGGACTTGGGGGTTTTTAATCCCAGGAAATACCCCCTGGAGGCAGCTCTGCTCAGCCAGAGGTGGCTGAAGGTATTTGTGAGAAGCATCTTCTCCGACATTCCTTCAGGATCCTCATTCTCATCCCCCACTCATGGAATCCCAGGATGGTTTGGGTGGGAAGGACCTTAAAGGTCCCACTATCCCAGGTTGCTCCGACCTGGCCTTGGACACTTCCAGGGATAACAGAATACCCTGAGTTGGAAGGGACCCACAGGGATCATCAGCCCAACTCCTGGCCTTGCACAGGACACCCCAACAATCCCACCATATCCCTGAGATTGTTGTCCACGGCCTGTTTCCCTTTTTACATCCTCATTTTTCCAAGGGCATCCCCAGATTCTCCTGGAATCTGTTCCAGCGCCTCAACATAAAAACCCCGGAGGTACCAACGTCAGTCCCAGACACTCAGCATCTTTCAAGCCTCAGTGCTTCCCTTCCTTTTATTTTCTGCTGCTCTCCCCTCCCCTTCTCAGGCAGCTCTGAGCACTTTTCCCTCCCCAGACAATCCCTGGCTGCTCTAAAGTGCCGGGAATGGCTTTTAGAACGGGCTGGGGTTCGTGGAGGGCAAAGCTCCGGCTGTCACGAGGGCCGAGGGAGAGGCAGGTTCCTTCGAGGACATCTTTGGAACAGCCACTCCAGTTCTCCCCCCTCCACGCAAGGGACTGGAGCTCTGGTACCCTCAGCTCTTGGATGTCGCAGTTTCCCGCAGAGGGAATTCTCGGAATCCCTGGGAATCCTCCGTGGGATCCCGACCTCGCCGCCGGAGAATCGGAGAGCACCGGTAAGTCGGAGCAGTTCCAGCCACGGGACCTTCCCTCTCTCTTGCTGCTCGTGGAGATTTCCAGGTTTATCGAGAGGCTAAGTGCTTTTTAAGGCTTTTTTTGGGGCCCAGCACTGGTTTTACTGGAATTTCAGTGAAGCAAATCCAGGCAGCCCAGGATCCAGCGCTCCGAGAGCTCTGGGAAGCTGGGGTGAGACACATCTCTGCACCCAGAGCCATTCCAGGCGTTCCCATCCTCCCTCCTGTGCCTCCACCCCTCTGGATGGGTATGGAGAGGGTGGGAAGGACCCTGAGCACGGCTCTGAGCTGCACATCTCCTGCTTGGATCCAGATTCCCACCCCCAGGGCCCTGCCCCATCCCAGGGAGTGTCCAAGGCCAGGTTGGAGCAACCTGGGATAGTGGGAGATGTCCCTGCTCAGGGCAGGGGGTGGGATGGGATAGGATTTAAGGTCCCTTCCAACCCAAACCATTCTGGGATTCTACAATTCCACGACCTTGTTCTTCCTGTGCACAAGAAGCATTTCCAGAGAGCAACAACCGAGGACAATTCCATTCCACCCCCCTCTGGATTGGAACCACACCCTCTAAAATTCCAGCTGGTTCATCCCCTTCCAGCTTTCACTCCCCACATCAGATTCCTTGGGAATCAAATCCCTTTTGCACGGGGGCCAGGAAAGGCAGGGGCAGTACCGTGGGAATCCTGAGCGCACGTGCAGGCCATCCACGTTCTGGCTGACCAGGAATTTCAGGATTCCGACCCTCTGCAGCCCCAGCAGCGCCATGTGAGTCTTGGAGGGCCTGGCATTCTCAAAGGTGGTGTCGAATTTTGGGGAGAGCCCTTTCTCTTCCATAGTCCAGACACCATTGGGGCCCCTGCAGGCACGGGAGAGAGGGAGAAGGGAGGGCTCAGACTCCCATCCGTGTGGGATGAGCCAGGCCCTGCGGAAGGGAGGTCGTGGAACGCCAGGGTTCTGGTGGTTGATGCAAGCAGAGCACGGGAGGGGACTTTGGGGGAAGAGCTGAACATCAGGGAGGTGTGAAAAAGGGTGTTCACAGCTGGGTCCAGCACTGGTGGGATGGATGGATGGGTGGATGGATGGATGGATGGATGGGTGGATGGATGGATGGATGGATGGATGGATGGATGGATGGATGGATGGATGGGTGGATGGATGAAGTAGATCTGGCTGGGGTAAACCAGAGCTTTCCAAGAGCTTTCCAAGCTGGAAGATGGACTTGGAGGAGGTGGTGCCATCCCCTTACCTGAAGTCAGGGATCCCCGAGGCCGTGCTGATTCCTGCCCCTGTGTGAAACACCACATTGGAGGAGCTCCGGATCAGCTCCGCCAGCTCCCGGACCTTCCGCTCCAGCTCCTCCGGGGGGTCGAAAATCTGGCCAAAGACACAAACCCGGCATGGAGGGACGTGGGGGTGGGAAGGAATTCCTCCCTGGGAGAGTGGGCAGGCCCTGGCACAGGTTGGGCAGAAAAGCTGTGGCTGCCCCATCCCTGGAAGTGTCCAAGGCCAGGTTGGAGCAACCTGGGCTAATGGGAGGTGTCCCTGCCCGTGGCAGGGGGTGGGGATGGATAATCCTTCAGGTCTCTTCCAATGGGCCTGAGGGAGATATGGGGGAACCGCGAGGTGGGGATTGGGGAGCATGGAGGGGGTCATGGGGTGGGACTGAGGGGATAAGGAGGGAGCCACAGGGTGATGAGAGGGACACAGAGGGAATTATGGGATGGGCCTGGATGGGTACAAGGAGGGGGACATGGGGTGGGCTGAGGGGGGGGGCAAGGAGGGAGCCCCGGGGTGGATCTGGGGGGGACAAGGAGGGAGCAGCTGGATGGGGCCAGGGGGGCCATGGAAGGGGCAATGGAGGGGGGCAAAGAGGGTTCCACGGGGAAGGGCTGGGCACACACAAAGCGCTCGGTCCCTCCCCAGTGTTGGGCTCCCCACGGGTGTCCCCGCGAGACCCTCGGCCGCGGTTGCCATGGGAACGCGCCGGGCCGGGGCAGGGCCCGCGGGAGGCTGGGGCGGGGGGGCCCGGGCGGTCGGAGTTCCCCCCCCAGGTGAGCAGATTTCCCCCCCGGGCGGTCGGAGGGTCCCGTCCGCGGGCTCTGCTCACCTCGGGGAGGCCGCACTTGCCCTTGTCCGAGTACGGGGACAGCCCCGCCGCGTAATTCACCGCCATCGGCGCGGCCGCACCGCGGCCGGAAGCGGAGCCCAAAGGGGGGCGGGGCCTGAGCAGGACACGCCCCCAAAGAGCCGCCGCCGCCGCCATCTTTGTGTCGGGCAAAGCCAAACCTTGCCCAAAGCTCGCCCAGGGGGATGCCCAGGGGGATGCCAGGGCAGGATGACGGATGGCAGGGAGGGACAGGGGGTGCCATGGAAGTTCAGGGGTGTCAGGGAGGGGAAGGGGGTGTCAGGGAAGGCAGGGGGTGCTGGCAAGGGCAGGGGGTGCCAGGGAGGGGAAGGGGGTACCGGGCCAGGCCAGGAGGTGTCACCAAGGTCAGGGGGTGTCAGGGAAGTTCAGGGGGTGTCAGGGAAGGCAAAGGGTGCTGGCAATGGCAGGGGGTGCCAGAGAGAGGCCAGGAATGCCAGGGAGGGGAAGGGAAGGGTGTCAGGCCAGGCCGGGAGGTGGCACCAAGGTCAGGAGGTGGACAGCAAGTGCCAGGGAAGGGCAGGGGTACATCAAGGACAGGGGGGTGCCAAGGGAAGAACAGGGGGATGCCAAGGAAATTCAGGGGGTGCCAACCATCAAGACTCAGCCTGTCACCAGCTGCAGCCCCAGACCCCCGAGAGGGCTGAGCAGCCCAACCTGAGCCCCCCCACGACTGCCCCTCCAACCCATGTCCCCTCTGTCCCCTGTCCCTGTCCCTGCAGGGTCACACAGACAGACACACAGACACACACACAGACCCCTCCCCAACAGCCTCCCCAGGCTGTAACCGCAGCCGATCCGTAACCCAACTCCCCGGCTCCTGTTCCCGGCTCCGCTGCGGCTGCGGGGACACCAACGGGGACAGGGCTGGCAACGGGCACAGGGCTGGCAAGGGTGGCACTGGGGGGGGGCTGAGCTGTCCCCGGGGAGGGACAGACCCTCCAGCACGGCCGTCCCCCCAGCAGGTGCCACAAGGCTGAGCCTGGAGCCACCATGAAGAGCCTGAGGGCCAAGTTCAAGAAGGGAGACGTGAGTGCCGTCCCTGGGGGGCTCTGGGGCACGGGGACCTCTCCTGGGATGTCCACAGGGACATGGGGACCTCTCCTGGGATGTCCACAAGGACACAGGGATGTCCACAGGGACATGGGGGTATCCACAGGGACACGGGGATGTGCCCATGAGGATACAGGGATGCAGGGACCTGCCCTGGGATGTCCACAGGGACTCAGGGACCTGCTGTGGGATATCCTTGGGGACATGGGGACCTGCCTTGGGATGTCCATGAGGACACAGGGATACAGGGACCCGCCCTGGAATGTCCCCAGGGACATGGGGACCTGCCCTGGTGTGTCCTTGGGGACATGGGAATGTGCTCCAGGGTGTCCCCAGGTTTCACAGGGACACAGAGACTTGCCCTGGGATGTCCATGGGGACACAGGGACCTGTTCCAGGATGTCCTCAGGGATACAGGAACCTGCCCTGGGATATGGATGGGGACCTGCCCCAGAATGTCCCAGGTCCTACAGGGACTTGAAGAAGTGGAGATTTTCCCCAGGATGTCCCCAGTGCCACAGGGACATGGGAACACCCCCTGGGACAGGGGGTGGCCGCTCCCCACGAGGACAGCAGCCCCACAGAGGTTGGCACTGCCACCCTGGCTGGTGGCATCGAGCCCCCAGCGCACCCCCAGTGCTCCCAGAGCCATCCCTGGGAGCGGGACAGAACAAAGGAGAGGGAAAGTGGGTCGCAGGTCCCCTCCCTGTCCCCTCCCTGGTGACAACTGCCAGCTTTCCAGCTGCCACAGCCCGTGCAAGCAGGGAGTCGATGCTCCTCAATTATTCAGGAGCCGCCTGGCACGGGCCACGGGCTCTGCCCCGGGGGCACAGGGTGACAGGGCGGGCGACAGGCACCCGGGGGACAGGGCAGGAGGATGCTCAACCCTGCTTTGGGGGTGGTTCGACACCTCGCTTGAGCTTGGGGTGGGAAAACTGTCCCCCCACCCCGCCTCAACCCTTCCCACAGGAACTGGGACCAGTCTGGGTGCTGGTCGCTGGCTGGGGGGATGCTCCGTGGCGGGATGCGGGGATGCCGAGGAGGGAAAGAGGGAGGGAGGGAGGGGAGGAGGGAGGGACGGAGGGATGGAGGGAGGCGGGTCCCGGTTCCCACTGCGGCAGCCCCTGCCCCGCCCGGGCGGCGATGCTGGACCGAGCCGGGCTCTGGGGTGGGCGTGCTGGCCCGGGCGGGGGGCGCGGGGTTTATGGCTGCCCGCCGCCTCCTCCTCAGCACCATGAAGCAGATCTGCCTCTGTGCCGCCGCCTCCTTCGCGGTACGTCCCCGGTCCCCCCCTCTCGGGACCCCTCCGGTCGCGTCCTGCGGGCTGAGCCGTGTC